GCGACGGCTCCCGGACGCCATGGACGCCGAGGAGCGGGGCGCCGAGGCGCTGAGCGGCTGCGAGGACGAGCTGGACGACAACTCCATGGAGGAGGACGCCGAGCTGAAGGACGCGGCCAGGCCGCTGCTGGCCTTCGCGGGCTCCTGCCCGCCCTCGCCGCCCTCCGTCATCTCCAGCATCGCCGCCCTGGAGAATCAGATGAAGATGATCGACTCGGTCATGAGCTGCCCGCCGCTGCCCGGCCTGAAGGCCGTGGAGAACGGCTCCGGGGAGAGTGACCGCCTGAGCAACGACTCCTCGTCGGCCGTGGGCGACCTGGAGAGCCGCAGCGCGGGCAGCCCGGCCCCGTCCGAGTCCTCGTCCTCCCAGGCGCTGTCCCCGGCCAACAGCAACGGCGAGAGCTTCTGCTCCAAGTCCCCGGGCCTGGGCAGCCAGGAGGAGCCGCCCGACATCCCGCTCAAGACGGAGCGGCCAGACAGCCCGCCACCGCCGCCTCCGCCGCCGCCACCATCGGGCCCCGGGAACGGCGGCGCCCTGGACCTGACGGGCCACCCCGGCCGGCCGCCCATCAAGGAGGAGCCCCCCTTCGGCCTGCTGTTCCTGAGCCGCGAGCGGGGTAAGTGTGCCGGCGCCGCGTGCGGGATCTGCGGCAAGCCCTTTGCTTGCAACAGCGCGTTGGAGATCCACCGGCGCAGCCACACCAAGGAGCGCCCGTTCGTCTGCGCGCTCTGCAGGCGCGGGTGCTCCACGCTGGGGAACCTCAAGCAGCACTTGCTGACGCACAGGCTGCGCGAGCTGCCTGCGCAGGCCTTTGACCCCAACTTTGCTCTAGGTCCCGGCCTGGTCGCCAGCGCCACACCCGCCATGGTCAAAATGGAAGTCAACGGCCACGGCCACGGCAAGGCCGCCCCGCTAGGTGAGGGCCCGCCGCTGCCGGCCGGGGTGCAGGTCCCCAGCGGGCCCCAGGCCGTGATGAGCCCGGGCCTGGCGCCCATGCTGGCCCCCCCGCCACGCCGGACGCCCAAGCAACACAACTGCCAGTCGTGCGGGAAGACCTTCTCCTCGGCCAGCGCCCTGCAGATCCACGAGCGCACCCACACCGGCGAGAAGCCGTTCGGCTGCACCATCTGCGGCAGGGCCTTCACCACCAAGGGCAACCTCAAGGTAAGAGGGCGGCGGTCTGCAGCCACCGCGGCTCCTCACCCAGGCTGTGCGCGCAGCGGCAGGGACGAGACGTCAGGGTGCGTGTGTGTCACGTGCTGCGATGGCTGCCATGCTTGTGCCGCACGTGCCGGCAGTGTGCTCTATGCGTGTGTTGTGTGTGTGGCCCATGTGCGTGTGTGTGCAGGTGCACACGTACGAGGCACGCGTCCCCGTTACCTGTCAGGGAGAGGAACGGGGCTCTCGCCCTCTCCCGGGGACTCCCAGCCTGTGAGGGACGTGTGCCTGCCACTTGACAGGCCACGGCAGGAGGCTGGCTTGACCTGCACCACGCCTTTAGACCCCCTGCGCAATACCTGATGCGAGGTGAGGCTTGCCCGGAAACTTCTGGAAGCCCGTGGCAGGGGCGCGCGGTGGGCAGCTGCGCAGCGTGCAGTCCTCGCGCACCTGCCCCGGGAGGCGGTAGGCTCACCCCGCCCAGCATGCCCAGGGAAGTGCAGGCTTGCAGGGCGGGCTCTGGAGACCTGGGCTCGGGCACCGTCCGGTCGCCAGGCCACAGTGGCCCCAGCAGGCCTGTGCTGTGAGGCCTCCTGGTTTGAGAGAAGCACGTTAGGGTGATGTTCAGGGTGGGGTGGAGGCGGAGAACCAGCGGACAAGGCCTCCCCGGGGAGCCCTGCAGGGTTCTCTGCAGCCGGAACCATTCTGCCGCTGAGTTGGTCACTGGGCAGGTCACCTGTCAACTGACCATGGGCGCCGCCCTGGCCTCTGTGTCCGGGGGAGTGCAGTGTTGTGCCTCAGGGGCGGAGACACCCCATGTTTTGTTGCCCACAAACAGAGCTTGGGCTGGGGCGGCCCTGTGGACCGTGCCCGGACTTGCTTACCTGTGGGCCATCTCTGTGTCACCAGGTGCACATGGGGACACACATGTGGAACAACGCCCCCGCGAGGCGTGGCCGCCGCCTGTCCGTGGAAAACCCCATGGCCCTGCTGGGCGGCGATGCCCTCAAGTTCTCGGAGATGTTCCAGAAGGACCTGGCAGCCCGAGCCATGAACGTGGACCCCAGCTTTTGGAACCAGTACGCTGCCGCCATCACCAACGGGCTGGCCATGAAGAACAACGAGATCTCCGTGATCCAGAACGGAGGCATCCCCCAGCTCCCAGTAAGTCTCGGTGGGAGCGCCATTCCCCCGCTGGGCAGCATGGCCGGCGGCATGGACAAGGCGCGCACCGGCAGCAGCCCGCCCATTGTCAGTTTGGACAAAGCGAGCTCAGAGACGGGGGCCGGCCGCCCGTTCACGAGGTTCATTGAGGACAACAAGGAGATTGGCATAAACTAGCCGGAGGCGCCGTGACCCGCCCCACCATCCCGCCCCCGTCCGCACCCTGACATTTGAGCAGCAGGCCGTGGGCCCTCATAGCAGAAAACAGTGTCGTGGCAGCTGCCAGGAGGCCGGCCGGGCTGGGCCGTGCTGGACAGCTGTGCCGGCTCGTAGGTAAATTTCCGTCAAAGAAGTGCTCGGAAAACCGCTGTAGGAGCAGAGTGCACAGCCCGGATCCCCCAGAACCTAACAGCCCCGCAGGGCAGAAAGGGGGTCCGGCTGGCGGGCTGGAGACTGGGACTGTGCTGCGGGAACCCTCCACCCTCGGCGGGGGTAGGTGGGGCGGGGGGTCCTTCCAACGCCCCGTGTTGCGACAGTATCTTTGTCCGTAGTATTTATGATGTTAAGATTACGCGGGTACCTGACGGTATAACAGCCCCAACCTGAAATGACGCTTTTGTACTGCAGAATACATCTGGCTATGTGATTTTTTTTTTAAAGCAAGATTTGTTTTACTATAAATAAGTGGATTATCTCAGTGCAGGCAAAATTGTGAAGTTTCGTTGGGAAAGATAGCATGCCTTTTGTGTGCAAGCACCTGTCAGTAACAAACCTTTTTTTTTTTTTTTTTTTTTTAACTTAAATGTCTGTAGCTGCTATGTGGACCGTTGTTCTCGAGTGTGGTCTTAGCCCAGGGACTGGGGAACAAGTCACAAACATCACCGTAAATTATTCACAACATTATGAGCCGTTGTGAGTAAATATTTCACATTATCAAAGCTGTACAATAAAAAGGTAATGTTTGTATAATGTGGTTGCAAACTCTTAATTTACACTACTGCACTGTTAGTATGTTGTATTAGGGAGGTTTGTCTGTAAGCTCAAAATCTAAAAAGATGTCAAGTATTTACTTTGGTTTCAAGAAAGTGGGGAAAAAACCCTTGTAGTTTCCTGCTTTGTCTTAAGGGCAGATGCTGGGAAATCTGCCACTCGCAGGGCACTTGTCAGCCGCTCTGTCCCTTGATGATTTCACATCAGTTTCCCACGAGCCCCAAGTAGAACCGCGACCACCCCTGGGGAGCATGAGCACCCTGGGGCTGTGACGTCAGCACAAGCCAGGAGATGTGGTGTAGGCCTGGTCTCCCTGGAGTCCCATGCCTCTGTCTCCACCGCCAGGAGGCACTGGGCGTTGCCCGGGGACCTGAGGGTCTGTGCTAGGCGCGTGCCAGGCTCAACTTGGGGGTCTTCATTCCGGCCTCGTGTCGACTTCTCAGACGGAACCAGAGCAAGCACACTGTCTCGTGGTCGTGCACCACCCGGCCCGACGCTGACCGCGGCTTTGCCTGCGTGGAGTCGAGGCCTGCCTGGAGTCGGTGCCGGGGGCGGCATCGTGGGTGCCACCCCATGGCTCTGACGCCAGGCACTTCCGATGGCAGAACTGCTCCAGAGAGAGCGTGGGCAGCTGGGGCAGCGCGAGGGGCGGCGTGCCCAGCAGGGCGTTCCACAGCGGGGGCCGCCTCTGAGGCACGCGCAGAGCGGCCTCCGGCTCATGCAGCCAGGCCAGCCCAGGCACTGCAGGAGGATGGCGGTTTCTGTCCGTGTGCCCCTGAAGGAAGGGCCCCCACTGCTCCCGACTGCTCCCGGGCTGGTCGTCTGCATCCCACCACTCCCCACCACTCCTGGGCTCTCATCCGCCCCCTTCCCACCCCCTACCACTCCCTACTGCTCCCCACCGCTCCTCACCGCTCCTGGGCTGCTCATCCGCCCCCTTCCCACCCCTTACCACTCCCTACTGTCCCCCACAGCTCCCCAGCCGCTCATCTGCCCCCTCCACTCCCCACCACTCCCTACTGCTCCCCACTGCCCCCGACCCCCACCCCCTACCACCCCCTACTGCCCCTCCCTACTCCCCACCGCTCCCCGGCTGCTCGTCTGACCCCCCCACCACTCCCTGGCTGCTCATCCGCCCCACACCACTCCCTACTGCCCCCCACTGCTCACCGCACCCCTGCTGCTTTTGTCGCCCCCCCACCCCCTACCACCCCCTACTGCCCCCCACTGCTCCCCACCGCGCCCCGGCTGCTCGTGTCGCCCCGTCCCTCTGAAGGGGTTTTGCCCCACCACTGCTCATCCGCCCCCCCACCCCCTACCACCCCCTACTGCCCCTCCCTGCTCCCCACCGCGCCCCGGCTGCTTGTCTGACTCCCCCACTGCTCCCTGGCTGCTCATCCGCCCCCCACCACCCCCTACTGCTCCCCACCGCGCCCCGGCTGCTCGTGTCGCCCCGTCCCTCTGAAGGGGTTTTGCCCTTCCTCTGGTTAGTATCTCAGTGCACATGGAAGTCCTCTCGGCTCCCAGGGACGCGTACGGGATGCAAGCAAAGAGCAGCGTGAAGTGTTACAAACGAGCCAGCTCCCGCAGGCGCCCCAGGCCAGCCCCGTCCTGTGCGGGGGCTGCAGGGGCCCTGCCGCTGGCTGGGAGAGACCTCGTTTCCATACTGCAGCCTGCTGGGGGCTGGGGCTCCACGGACAGCTGGGGATGGTTACCTGGGTCCAGCATTTATTAAATCTGTGGCTTCACACACCCACTGGTGCAAACGGGTGTCTCAGTCCAGGTTACTGTGTTTGTCATGGAATTGAATGAATGCAGGCCGTGGTATTTCTGAATCGCATTCCGCAATGGAAGAGGGCATTTGCGGCGTTGCTCACCGAGGGCCCTGGGCAGCCTGCAAGCAGCAGGGTCTGAGCGGGTCTGCGCCTGAGCCTGAGCCTCCGGGCCATGGAGGAAGAGGGCACAGACGGCGCCTGCACACCTGGGACTTGGTCACGTGAGAAAGTGCACAGGTGAGGCAGGAGCCGGCCCCGCAGGGGAGGGCAGCAGGGGGTGGGCTTCGCCTCACGGGTGATGCGGAGGAGGTGGAAAACTGTAAATGATTCTTTTAATTAAGTGCCACGACCAGAGGCCGCGGCGGCTCCTTCCTCTGCTGGGAAGGGCTGGAGGTTTCCACCCCGCGGCACGCGCCGTCCCCGCATCGCGTTCAGAGCTGGCGTAGCCATCGGGGCACAGGAACAGCTAACTCAAGAGTGGAAAGGAAACAGCAAAGACGCCACAGCATTGACATGGATGGCAAGGAGAAGGCAGGAGAGGGGCCTTCGCCTCTTGACTGTCGAAGATGTTGGTGTTTCTTTTTAAAATGTATGTATTTGAAAGAGAGCGAGAGTGTCCATCCACTGGGGACTGACCCAGATGGCCGCAGGAGCCAGGACTGGGCAAGGCTGGAGCCAGGAGCCAGCAGCTTCACCGGTTCTCCCAGGCCATCAGCAGGGAGCTGGATGGGAAGTGGAGCAGCCGGGACACAAACCAGTGCCCACCCAGGATGCCGGCAGCAGCACCGGCCCCTGCAAAGGTGTTTTTCTGACACCAACTTGGTTCCTGAGCCTGTGTATGACGGAACCAGAAACGGCCTCAGAATTGCGATTTGGGCGCATCTCCAAGTTCACTGGACATGATGACGTCGCTGCTGTCTGATGGCTCCTGACTCCCCGACCACGTTGAACCGGCTTTGCCGGATGCTGCCTGCACCGAGCGCAGCCAACGTGGGCATCTCTGTCCTCCGTCCCCGCCACCCTCCCCTCCTCGTCCGTGTGTCTCCAGGGAGGTCCAGAGCATGTGCCCCCGCGGGTCCTGAGAGGGAACCGGCGCTCGCTCATTCCTTGGGAAGTCTCAGACATGGCGTCCACTGAGAAAGCGGGCGTGAGGTATGTGGGGGCGGGCCTGGGGCTGATTTGTAACCATGAGAAAATGTGGCTGGCAAAATATTCTTTAATCCAGGTGGAAAATTAAACTCCCCCTCTTCACGTAGGAAAGGAGTAGTGGGTGCGAGTTCTCAGTGCTCCCACCGGGAAGGACACTTCCTGCTCTCCTTCCAGCATGTTCCTGACGGTCAGCGCTGGTCCACAGGTCCTCCCGGGGCCCAGGGCTGCCCACTGGAGTGAGCCGGTGCTCGTCACCCTGGCTGTGCGTGCAAGGGCCAGAGCCCCAGCCCGCCTGTACCCTGCCTCATCCATAGTTTATGATACTCAAATTCTTTCCTTTTCTAAAATTCTATTGAAAAAAAACTACCACTAATACACACCTTTCCTTTCCTTGTAGAAATCCACTAGACAGACCGATGGTGGTATTTATAGACAGGAAATACGAGTGATTGCCTGAGAACATTCTTCCTCAGAAATGAAAAATATATTGTAAGTGACCTTGCTAGAGTCACTACGTGGAGTCATCTCTGGACCAGGAAAAGTGTGTTTGTAGCTTTGTCTTTATAAAAAAAATTACAAAGCACTGAAGTCATTGGCATGTGATGTGTTCAAGGTAAAATAAACCCAGTTCTGGAATATTATGCTTGCTGCACTTGCTGTTAGAAAAGAGACGTTTGAGGCTGCGTTGCGTTTTCCCGGTGTTGCTGCTCGGCGAGACGACTGTGGGCGGCAGAACGTGCAGCCCACAGCAGGCGTCTGCCTGCTCCCCGTGCACGTGGAGAAGCTCCCGTGGTGACGGTGCCGGCGGGAGCGCCCCCATGTACACCCGGCCTGTATCTCACTGGAGTTCTCTGGAGGGGTCACCGCTTGTCGTTGGGACAGGTGTCTGGCTCGCCCGTGTGTGACTCCGCTGTCACTGAATGCGGTGAGGGGACGAGAGGAGGAGGCAGGCGCGCTTGTGTCCAGCAGTCAGTACAGAACGAGCGGTTCAAGGGTCAGGCTCGCTGTGCGTGGGTCAGACACGGGAATAAACGGATTACGCCGGGGTCCAAATGCGGTTATTTGTGAGAACGGGGAACTCTCCTGTTCTGTAGCCTCGTCCATCCCCCTGTTCTCTCAGCCTCGTCCCGTGGCTGTTCCGGGGAGGAGTGCAGAGCAGTGCCTGCGGCCTGCGCTTTCCGGGGAGGCTCGCGTGGGGCTGCACCTGGCCGGCTGCAGGGCAGCCCGCGGCCTGGGAGAGCGCCGCGCCTGGCACAGCCTCCGATGGGGAAATCCTGCGTGGATTTCACATTGTTTTGCACCAAAATGAATTCATCTTTCCCTTCCATTTCTCCACAAAGTTCGGGCGCCCCCTCCCCCGCATCCCGGTGCCTTCTGGCTGCGCATGTGCTTGCGACTTTCAGGGGCAGAGTTCCATTCCGCCAGGAAGTCCCCGAACAAGGTGCCGACCCACGCCGTACCACTCCTGCAGGCGGGCTCGGGATGCGCGCAGTGCAGTGACCCAGCCGTCTACGTGGCACCTCGCAGAACTGTCCTGGTAACAGGAAGCCGGTCCTGCCGAGGCCTGTGTTCTGAAGGCGACATCTGTCTGCAGACACTTGGGCTGGATGATACGTTGAACCAGGCTATGATCCCACCCAAGAAGCTACCAGATCTTTAATAGCAAGGAAAGAGCTGTGTTGACCTCCCAAACTGTGTGATTCAGGAAAAAGAACTTTATCCACAATTTTTTAAAAAGATTTATTTATTTGAAAGGCAGAGTTACAGAGGGGCAGAGAGAGAGAGAGAGAGAGAGAGAGAGAGGTCTTCCATCCACTGGTTAATTCTCCAGATGGCTGCAATGGCCAGAGCTGCGCTGATCCAAAGCCAGGAGCCTGGAGCTTCTTCTGGGTCTCCCACACGGGTGCAGGGCCCAAGCACTTAGGCCATCCTCCACTGCTTTCCCAGGCCACAGCAGAGCACTGGGTCAGAAGAGGAGCAGCTGGGCCTCGTTCCGTTGCCCACATGGGATGCTGGCATTGCAGGCGGCAGCCTCACCCGCTACGCCACAGCGCC